CATGAACGGTTTCGCTGTGCAGTGATCGTCACGTTAGCCAAAACCGTTATCTTAATTTATAAATTATGCTTTTAGGTGCCATCTTCCAAAGCCTGACATATTAACAAATGAATCACGATTAACTGTCTTCTGTAGAAGTACACACTAACGATAAGGAGTCTGAATCATTCGTTTATAAATAAACCCAGTGAATCAGCTGAATGGAATAAGGGCAACGGGACATTAAATCAGCTCTTTTTGGTGGTCATACATGCAAATGTGAATCTGGTATTATAGAATTACATGAAACATGGGTTGGTTCCAGTGAATGAAGGCTGATTAGCAGTACTTTCCCAGGAGAAAGCACCACAAACACAATAATGGTGCACATGGGCTATTTTTAAATATCCATTAAGCACAGGTCAAAGGTCACACTCCACAACAGTCCACTCACACTCATACAGATCACTGTAACCATAATATTACCCCTGAACCAGAGTTTCCATGTGTTTTCATTTATGAATACACAAACTGTTACGGCGGAGCATGACAAAACAGGGTTCCATTAATGTAACGGAACACAAAGGGAGAATCAAAAACCAAAGGGACCACGAGGGGGGTCAAAATGGATAAAACAGAAACTAAGGCAGGGAGCAACATTGGGAACGACAATACTGAAGGCAGGGAGGAACACAAGAAACTACAATAACTCACATGGGATAACTATACTGACTACACTTAACAATGACACAGCTAACAAAGCAAATCAAGCACCTAGACATGCAGTCAAGTTTGCAAACATTTGTGAAAGAACAAGAGTAACTCAGCCATGAAGTGGCAAAGGAGCAGCGTCGCCAAGTGTGAAGCACCAACGCTCTGCTGACTCAGTAACTGAAGAGTTCCAAACTTCCTCTGACATTAACTCCAGCATAAAAAAAACTGTGTGCTAGGAGCTTCATGGAATGGGCTACCATGACTGAGCAGCTGCACGCAAGCCTCGTATCAAAAAGCACAATGCCAAGCGTCGGATGGAGTGCCGTAAAGCATGTCACCACTGAGCTATAAAGCAGTGGAAACGTGTTCTGTGGAGGGAGAAATCGTGCTTCTTTCTCTGGCATCTCGAAGAGTCTGGGTTTGGTGCATGCTAGGAGAAGGCTACCTGTCTCTCTACATTGGTGGAGGAGGGATAATGGTACAGTATGGGGTTGTTTTTCAGAAGCTGGGCTAGACTCCTTAGTTCCAGTGAAGGGAACTCTTAATGCTTCAGATTAGCAAGACATTTTGGATAATTCTATGCTTTTACCTTTGTGGGAACAGTTTGGGCAAGGCCCAAGTGTGCAAAGCACGGTCCATAAAGATATGGTTGGGTGATTTTGGTGTGGAAGAACTTGGCTGGCCCACACAGAGCCCTGACCTCAACCCTACTGAACACATTTAGGATGCACTGCAACAGAGATTGCGAGGTAGGCCATCCCTGCCTGACCTCACAAATTCTCTTCTGGGTGAGTGGGCAAACATCCCCACAGACACACTCCAAAATATTGTGGAAGGCCTTTCTAGAACAATACCAGCTCTTATAGCTGCAAGGGGGGAACCAAGTCCATACTGATGCCTATGGAATTAGAACGTGATGTCATAAAAGTTCCTGTAAGTGTAATGGCCAGGGTATCCCAATAGATTTGTCCATACAGTGTATGTTAGTTTAGCTGGAAGCATCGATTTATGATGCCTGAAGCGAAGGAGTGAAATTCATTACCATTCATGATGTTTATGAGACATTCTGTCTAGGGGCAGGTCAGCTTTACTGAACTACCGAAATCACACCATCCACCAGGCGTGCGGATAAAAAAGCCAAAAGCCAGCACAGGGAAACAGTCTTGTCCCCCTTGTTCTTCCAAAGGCTGCCATTTCATGCACTAAAAGTTTTAGTAGGACTTGTAAAAGACTGCAAGAGAAAGTGTGGATCACTGACTCACTGCTGTGAGTCATCGGTCATCTTAAAGTGAGGTGTGCATACTGACAACCACAAGCAGAATAAATACTGTCTTTACTGCTGTAGCTAATTAACATGTATGTGTGACTGCACCGAGAGGCAGCTGGAGGGGGGCTTGGGGGGGGGGGGGTCTACCTGAGTTAAGGCAACTCAACTACATACACACAACCTTCAACAATCTCCGTAGGTCTTCTCTGAATACATACTAAATCTCATATTTCAGATAAACCATAGATCCACTGAGCTAATGTGTTGATGTATTTATGACCAGTTCACAACACACCTGCCACTACATGATGAAATCTCTTTTTAAAACAATTCATTACTTTTACACACACACACACACACACACACACACACACACACAGACACACACACACGCACGCACGCACACAATATAAAGGTGCATGTAATGCCTGAAATATTTTGTGTAGTACATCATCCTCTCCTCCACATTAAACATCCTTTTAAATATACAGTTTCTATTTCAATTTGCACAGAGAGTTCCAGAATACATATGGCCAGTCCTTTTTGCTACCCTAAAACAGAAAGCCAATCCCTGCCATACTGCAGAGCTTTAAAGATACTAATGACTCACACTACAAGACAGTCCCTGGGTACTCAAGTTAGTCACCGAGTCAACTTTCCATTGAAACAACTTCTCTTCTGCTTGGAAAAGGATTCTGCAGCCACCCCATGTTGTATCTGCATCTCCCTCTGCGTCTCCCTAGCAAAAAGCTTCAGTGACTAATGCTGAGGTAGAGAGCAACGTCATTAGCAGTTCCAGAAATAGCTCCTTCCGTGGAAGCTTTATGTCGATTTTTTTTTTTTTGTAAATGTTACGCCTGTTGAAATGTGACAGATACAGGAGAGACGCTTCTCCGGAAATCAGTTTTTAAACAGATCATTTTCCCAGGAGCGTTTATGCAGTGCAGGATTACAGTGCGCCTGGAGCTTTTCCGAGTACGTACTGTACAGGACAAGAAGGCAGGGAGCAGCCGGGACGGGTTGCCAGTGAGATCAAGGCGCAGGGACACACTGTGAGGGGATGCAGGGCACTCATCGCCGGGCTATGCGAGTAATATTATAGTGTGTGTTAGAAAAGTACTGGGCCATTAAAAAGAAAAATCTATGAAGTGGATACATAGTAACTTGCAATTTAACAATAGTTAAGTGACCTTGGCAACTGCTGAATATTGGCTTAAATAGAGACAAAGACTTAAAAAAATATCGTAGAGAAGGCAGCATTTTGCGGCAGCGCGCGCACACACACAAGGTTAAAACAAGGAAATACACGTTCCCCAGGTGATACAGTATATTATAGTGGAAACATTTCCTCCCTACAAGGTAAACGTTTTTCACAGGATCCCTGTACACTTACCTGTCAGGCACAATAATCAGTTGATGGATTAAGTTCACCTGCCGATATGCTGACGTGATTAAAATAAATAAAAAATAAGGTATGCTGCTTTGGGAAGATGATACTGAAATGCATATAATAGTTGCCGTACTGTATATAGACGTAGATTTAGTATTAATTCTGAAAGCGTTTCTTTATATAGTACCAACTATATAAAGATTATTTCATATTATTTTATATAAAAACTATTTTAACACTGTTTTTAACAAAACACGGCAGTGTTTTACAATAGTTTTGAAACGCACAATCTATATCCTCTAGCACAGTGAGCCTTTCCCGACCCTGTATCTAGTATAGGTTTAAATTAACGCTGTGATCAAGCGCGCAGTGCACTCTGCAATTTGCGCCAATCAATGCCTATCGTACAAATCTGATTGGATGTTCCTCCTATTTTAAATTAAGCGTCTTGCTGGTTTCAAATGCATACATTTCCAACTCCGCCTCGCGACCCTTTCAGAACTTGGAGCCATGGGTTGAGAATCGCACTACATTAACTAAAATCTGTATTTTGTTGTTTTCAACGAAATCGATAGAGTTGCTTCTTCACAGTCAAATTTCTTCTGTGACATAGAATATAACCTTTATACACACACCTTCAAGTGGTTTAAGAGGCTTCTTTATAAACATACACGTGTGTTAAAATCTTTCAAGTCCTGTTTTTGAACAGATCTAGGGAGCCGCCACTGCTGGAAAGTAACACTTGGCTGCTCAGGTAGCTGCATAAAACTGTATGTAACCCGCAGGCAGAAGCGAACTGCTCCGCCCTCGATGCAGACGCATATAGAGGCTCCGCTTCGGCTCTGATCTTCTCCCTGCCCTCCGCAGGATCCTCACGATCCCACATTAACGCGTCAATGGCGTCACTGCTTCACGCAAGCAAACCCACCGCTTCATCCCAGCACTGCCCCGCTTTGCATACTAACAACTCCACTCAGACCTGCACCACTCATATTAGATTTAACTTCGTTGTCATTGTACACAATGATTCTACAAGTATCTAACCCGAACGTGCAAAATAATGCAAAAAGGCTAGAAACAGCTGTACAATGTATAGATGTGTAACAATGTGTAGATGTACACGTCATACAACACACCCCAATTAGACTGCTCTCCGCATTTTTGATCTCAGATTTTTTCACTCAGTGATCTGACTTCGCAGTAATTAGGACTTAACTACATACATAGGAGTTTCGTTCAAACGTTATTTGAAGGTTGGTTCAAACGTTATTTGAAGGCTGGGGATCAGGATCTCATATGCATCACAACATACAGGTTGTTTCAAATATACTGTGGCATCATGGTGTGTAACGTAGGAATGCAGTATACAAGATACAAGATGCATGAAAGATCGTGCCATCAAGCCATCGTGTCAGCATGCATTTCAATTTGCATCAGTGTATATTTAATCTACACTGATGTCTTCCCATATGATTGGTGTTACTATATTAGTTTTATGTTACTTCACTCTTCCGTGTTGTTTTCGCATTTGTTACGTATTTCGTTGAGTCACATGGGTATTGCGTTAATTGTCAAAAAGTACAAGAGTCGTGCAATGCAGTGTTAACTTCTCGCGCGTAAATAAGCCTGCCGCTTGGAGTGACGCGCGCATGCGCACTAAGGTGTTTGCGTGTGTATGGGTGTGTGTCCCTGAATCATCGCTGTGCGAAGACAAGCACAGAGTGATGGGACCAGAGTGAAGGGACAGCAGCGAGCTCCCAGTGGCTGGCTATGACAGGTAGTACTACGGGTTTTACATACATCATATCCATGTACAGCTGCAGGAGACCATTTCCCCCTCTTCTTACCATATCTTGATTGGTTATGATTTGGGGATTATATATTTCTTTTCGAAATGCCCTTCGTGACTGTTTTGCATCCGATGTGTTATGGAGCAAGTATTGCAGACGCATTTATATTAGTTTTTATGCCTGTTTCTGAAGTGCGTGTGCATAAACTTATTTAAGGACACGTTGTTCCCGAAGTAGACTGCATGTGTTTGCTTTTTGGGAAGAATTAAATGTACTTGTATTTACTCTTGTTTAGCGATATGTTCCGACGTTGCATTTCAGTATTAGTTGTTGCTGTTGTGGATACATGTGCATTCGCGGTTATAATCGGATTTATTTTACATCTGCTTGATCACTAGTTATTCCTGCTTTACAGCTGGTCGATCGCTAGTTGTTCCTGGCTTAGAGTCGCTAGGCTGCTAGTTATTCCTGCTTTGATCATTGGTTGAGTCGCGGGGGATTCAGCACCATGGACAGGGTTGGGGGTTAACGCTCTCCATACTTCATTGAGCGTGTAGATTAAATTTACGTTCTGTCTGGTAAAATCTGGAACAACACGGAAAATTCAGAACAGCAACATTCTTTGGATATGGAAAACAGCCAACATGCAAATTATTAAAGTCTAGAAATGTTTGCTTGTGCTTGTGCGGTGTGCGGTTTTTAATGTGAGACTGGCCGTGCCTGAACATGCACATGCATGTTAATTATGTTGCTGAAACTCGTTCTTCGTATTGACCCTAAACATATATGGTCAGTGTAAGTACATACATTATTGCCGGTCATTCTTCAAAACAGTTTGTTAAAACGTGACATTATGCAAGTGTAAAGATGTTTTACACTGCGATACAATACTTGCTTTTATATATATATATATATATATATATACACACACACACACACACACACACACACACACACATACATATATATACACACATACACATATATATACACACACACACACACACACACACATATATATATATATATATATTTATAAACTACAATTCTTATTTACTGTGGTTCTGAAGCATGGATGTCCATTTGTGTCGTACGATATTATATATGAAATACTGTGCCTAATTGAGCATGGATTTGACATTCATTGACACCCCCCCCCCCCACCCAGAATAATGGACCCGGCTGCACACCTGAGGGGTTTTGTCCTTGGGATGTGTACACGACCTCCATGAGTGCCATACTATTTAGGGAAGGGAGCAGCTTCCATCCTTCCACAGCCCCGGCGCGGTACAGCTGCCGTGTAGCCTACTAAAGGCTTGCTGGGGACCCTAAATGTACCAGTAATCCATGCTGAGAAATGCCCTATGGACCTCTGCTAGCTCCTCAGTGCGCCACCTACTGACCGGAGGGAGAAACCAGCATCGCCTAGAAGATGTTTGATTCATTAAAGCACTGCACAAGGGAAGAGTGCTGAGCATAGCAGATAGCCAGCAGGCATTAAACTGGGATGTATTTTCTACAATCACTGGTGGGGTGTTAGGAGTCTTAATCCAAACCATTGACTTCAACTACTTTGATCTAATCTAGCACAATTGCTAGGAATATAACAGATGAAAGCATGAGACTGCGAAAATTAACTTGGATTTATAAAAAATGTAAATGGTATTTTAAGTTGTGATGTGTAGAAGCCGCACACTTTCACACGTACATTCCAAAGCCTTCGGTTTTGTGATCTGAAGGTCTTCAATTAACAACATTAGTCCAGTATTTATCTGTGAATAATTGTGTATAATAATGACAGCTCTACTGTAAGACTTTATCAGACATCACAACATAGTTTGAATAGAAGCTAAAGCATAGAAATGAGCTTAGTGGCAATATGCTTTCACGTTGTGGTGGTATGTGTGGCTTTGACAAGCTGTGTTGGCAATATATCTACTTTAGAACTTGTTATATGTAATATTTCTGACTTAAAAACCTCTACTACAATAGCACATGAGGACAGTACAGTATGATGGCCTCGTCAGTCTGGAGGAAGGCAGAGATGATTGCTGACTCATATGTGGGCAGTCAGGGCCACACACAAGCCCTGAAGAGGAGTTCATTTTCTGGGCCGCCGGGGGGGGGGGGGGGGGGGGGGGGGGGGGGGGGGGAGGTGGAAGTTTGGGCCCCCCCGCCAGAATTGGCAATTTTGCAGAGCCAGTGAGGACAGTAGAATTTGGGGGTGGGGTCCCCTGATTCTGCCTCTATCCATGGCCTTCCAGTGCCCCTGGGGGGGGGGGGGGATGTTTTTTCTGGGACCCCAGTCACTTTTGGAGCCCCCAAACCCCCACAGGTGTTTCACAAAAGAAATAGCTAGTCAGCAGAGTCAGAAGATAACTGGTTTTATTTATTATCAGCTAGCTGGTGAGCAGAACTGGCTGCTTCACATCTCCTGAATAAGGAATACATTTATTTAGCATTCAGTGTAGTGATAAACAGTTACTCTCCATTGAGTCCTAGATGTTTCAACCATTTTGAGCGATGGTGTGTACCACTGCTCAAATTACCCAATTCGTGTGGGGCCCCCTGTTGGCCACAAACAGTCACTACACTAGTAGTAGCATGTCCTGCTAGCTAGCTACGACCTTCTGATTCTACTCACTAGCTAATGTTAACGTCATATGCAACCATGACGTGATCATATCCTAGTGGCGCCATGAAAAGAAAGAAAATCAAATATAGAAATAGAGTCTCTGACAAAGAAAGGCAACTAGTATCTTCACCAACAATGAACCGTCTGATGACGACACAGCAAACTTCAACAGATGCCGATGCATAGAATTTATGAGCGGGGCCCCAAACGCACTGCTGCCTGTGTGCAGTGCTGATGCAGTGGAGTCAGTGACAGATAAGAGCGGGCTGCTGTGTCCTCTGCTCACGTGCTGCAGATGCGAAGGATGGCCTCGTGCCCGGACATCTGCGGAGCGAGGCGTGCTGAGAGACCGCAGCCGGCCGCCGCCGGCGGCGACCGCCCCCACTACGGTGTCCGTTCGTACCTGCACCAGTTTTACGAGGAGTGCACCACCTCAATCTGGGAAAGCGACGAAGATTTTCAGACTCAGAGATCGCCTAGCAGGTGGAGCTCTGTCCTCTGGAAGGTAGTGTGAATCGACTATATGGGGGTAGTGTGCATGCGACCGGAAGGTTGCTGGTTCGAATCCCAGGCTTGGCAGAGTGATTCCATCATTGGGCCCTTGTGCAAGGCCCTTAACCCTAATTGCTCCCGGGACTGGCTGACCCTACTGTCTCAAAAATGTATGTCGCTTTGGATAAGTGTCAGTTAAATACATAAAATGTAAATATATGAAAGCTTCTAATAAACTTTTCTTAAATGTCACTTTATTAAACTGCCTCAGCATGTTAAATTTCTGCAGAATATCAGTAGATTAAATAGGCTGTGAATTGTATTGTTGCACACACACAGATACTGACTATGAAGTCTACTTGTTGCTGTAGTCAGGTCGCGCAAAACCAGTCAAAAGTTTCCTAGGGCCCGAAGGTGGCATTACTCTGCCGAACCAGGATTTAAACCAGCAACCTTCCGAGTCCTAAGTCTCAGAGCTGCCCTCTCAACATTATTTTTTTGTTTAATGCTTTTTGGTCAGTCCTGGATCCGTGCATCTCTTTTGCAGGTTTTCCTCGCTTTGGGAACCTTGATCTTAATCACAGGCCTGACCATGCTGACTGTGGGCTATGTCACCACGCCCAAAATCGAAGCCTTCGGGGAGGACGACCTTCTGTTTGTGGACAGCAGAGCCGCAAGCTTCAACCGGGCCCTCGAGGCCTGCAAACTGGCCGGGGCCATAGTGTTTTGCGTTGGGGGCAGCGTGATGGCAGGGGGCTTTCTGCTGTCTGTGTCCGCAGAGGGGAACGCCAAACAGGAGCGGGGCCTTTGGCGAAGGCTGGCCCAGAGGCCGCCTGAGCCGGTGACCCGGGCACCAGCCCCCAGGGAGGGTAAAATCCCCGTCACGCTGTCCAAAGTGCAGAACGTTCAGCCCACGTCCGGAACCTGACGCTAAGTGGTAACCACAGGAAATATGTGTATCTACTTGAAATCCAGCTTAAGCGATTAAGCAAATATGACATACAGTCCAGAACAAATAACTTTACATGCATTAAAGAAATGAAGATTAGGGGGGGGGGGGGGGGGGGGAATGTGTTATTCCATCTACAATCCACACATTTTCAAAGAAAATCTTTAGCGCAATAAACTATTCATCAATTTCATTATGTCATAGCACTGGACTTTGGATAGACGTTACTGGGTGTCGGATAATGACCAAAAAAAAACTGAGTTTTTAAAGCATACTATTCAGTTACTGGATTTCAAGGAACACCCTGAAAAACAGCTTGCTGAAAACTGCTTGTTTATAATGGTTTTAATATGGATTTAAAACTTTGGTGAAAAAACTACAAAACGTATTTTATCCATTATCCATTGTCCCACTATTTCACAAGCAAGTCAACTGCAGCAAAATTAAGCAACCAGAAACCTCAATTCCAAGTGGAGGCAGTATGTAATGTTAATCCTATTTGACCTGTATTAAATTGAAAACAGTAAAAAGACAAGAAATTTAATGTCATTCCTTAGCTTTACAGCTTTTCTGTAAATTTACCCTCTTTGCGAATTTGGTGCCAGCAGCCTGTACCCAAAGAGTTGGGATAGGAGCAGCATAACACTATGAATGCTGTTAAATATTCATAAGCCACCTTGAACAGGTGATACTTTCATGCTCCGGTACAAGAGGGGCGACCATGAAAGGCTGAGTCCCTTACAAGCCAGGGTGGGTCGAGACTCGCCACTTTGCTCATAACTACATGATCGAATCCATCAGTTTATTTCTCAACACACAGTTGCAGGGAATTTAGGGATCTCACTCGGAAAACATTGATAAAAGATTCAGGGATTCTGGAGAAATGTCTGTGTGTGAAGGACAAGGTCAAAAACCAGTGCTGAATAGCAGTGATCCTGGATGCTTCAGATGACACTGCATTTAATTCTGACATGCTTATGTGATGGATATAATCACATGGGCTTGGGAATGCTTTGGGAAACCATTGGTGATTAACCCAGTTTGGTCACTACATCTACAAATACAAGTCAAGATTGTACTATGCAAAGAGGAAGCCATACGTCAACAACATGCAGAAATGCTGTCTAGCTTGCTTGGCTTTGACTTTCCACTGAAACGTGTGCTCTGCTGACGAGTCGTCCTTTCAGATTGTTTATGGAGATAAGGAACATCATTTTCTCAAATCCAAAGAAGCCAACCCGATTTTTAAAAGCTGGCATGTCATGGTATGTTGCCCCCACGTAATGGACTATGTTGACTTATGACATCACAGAAGCATGTCAGAATTTAATGCAGTGTCGTCTGAGGCATCAAAGATCACTGCTATTCAGTATTGATTTTCAATGGAAAGTGGACTTTCAGTGGAAAGTCAAAGCCAAGCAAGCTAGACAGCATTTCTGCATGTTGTTGACGTATGGCTTCCTCTTTGCATAGTACAATCTTGACTTGTATTTGTAGATGTAGTGACCAAACTGGGTTAATCACCAATGGTTTCCCAAAGCATTCCCAAGCCCATGTGATTATATCCATCACATAAGCATGTCAGAATTTAATGCAGTGTCATCTGAAGCATCCAGGATCACTGCTATTCAGCACTGGTTTTTGACCTTGTCCTTCACACACAGACATTTCTCCAGAATCCCTGAATCTTTTATCAATGTTTTCCGAGTGAGATCCCTAAATTCCCTGCAACTGTGTGTTGAGAAATAAACTGATGGATTCGATCATGTAGTTATGAGCAAAGTGGCGAGTCTCGACCCACCCTGGCTTGTAAGGGACTCAGCCTTTCATGGTCGCCCCTCTTGTACCGGAGCATGAAAGTATCACCTGTTCAAGGTGGCTTATGATTATTTAAGAGCATTTATAGTGTTATGCTGCTCCTATCCCAACTCTTTGGGTACAGGCTGCTGGCACCAAATTCAGAATGAAGGTATATTTTCAGAAAAGCAATAAAGCTGATAAGGAATAACATTAAATTTCTTGTCTTTTTACTGTTTTCAACTGAATACGGGTCAAAGATGATTTATAAATCACTGTAAGCATTTCTTCTCATGAATTTTAAAATTAACAGACTATTCACATTGTTGCCGAAACACAAGTAACTAAAACAGCACTGAATAATGTTCTGATGTTCAAATTCATATGTCATCATTCAGGTTTCTGTCCAACAGTGATCTCCGTAAGAAAAACGTGATTCTTTTAAGTTTCTCCTGACCTTCATAATGCATATTACAACCACCATTTTGTAACGTAAGCTGGTTTACCTGGATTATCTGTCAGCGTTACATGGACATGCCACGTGTGTATTGACGTGTAATAAACAGAGAGGTTGTTTAAGCTGTCCATTGTTAATGAACATGTCAGTTTTTGACCTAACCACTGCACCTCCTAGGACAAACTCTGTCCCCCTACCCCCCACAACCCTGAACAGGATAAGTGGTTAAAAGATAGATGGATGGATGGATGGATGGATGGAGTTATTGACCTGAGTCAATGATCCGGCCTGACAGGATCGTGTCAGTGAAGTGCATGCGTTACATCAAGACACCAACCAGGATCAAACCAAAACCATTTCATCAAAGAGGTCGACACCTCTGTCCCTAGCCAAGAGAGACAACTGTGCATCCGGACCAGCATGTGACTGATGGATTAACATTTTAAGATGTGCTGTCATAACAATACAACAGATTATAATATTTATTTAAAAATTTGTGCACATATTTTAATTCAGCTGATTCAGGCTAATTATTTGCCACACCTATTTTTACAAAAGCGGTACTAAATTACTGGAACACAAACATCACACAAACGATTAATTAAAACATAATATTGTAGCAAATCATTCCAAAAATTAGTTATTTTTCAGGTCTTCACCTCAATAGCCAATAATCTGGTAAGACTAGTGATTTATTTCATAAAGATTAAATAACTAATTACACAGCACTGCATATTTGCAAAAACATTGCTTTTTAGATCTTGATGTCTAGCTTTTTTTGGTCACAGGTACGTTATGTATCATAGAGACTGGTTGCCAAGGTTACAGCCAGGGGGAAGAAAAGTAACAGGTTTAATTGCCCCCAAATTCCTATTCCACATTAACGTGGGAATCCAGACCTATTCTGTTCACTCAGTCTCTCTGATTTATGAGCAATCCTTCAATTATCAGTTCTTTTCCACATGGTACACAATGTGAAGTGACTGACTGTGTTTGATGTCTTTAAATATGAGAAATAGCGTGAAAAGCAGGACATCCTGTGACCTCGGGGTCACCCTCTCCCTCAAAGGATCACCTACAGCAAGCTGGGCTTCACTGTCTGAGCTGACTTTTTCCCAGTTACGGGGCAGTTCTGTCCTCTAATGATGGAGTATGAGAGTAAGTCTGTTAGATTAGAACAGGTCATTACTTTTGATCCACATACAAAGGACGGCCGTACTTGGCCCAGAACATACGCTCAGTGGCAGATTAGATACACCTGCTCGTTAACACAATCACCCTGCTTCTGCAAACAGCCAGTCATGTGGCTGCAGCTGAATACAAACAGCAGCCAGTGTCAGGTGGTTCATTTACTCGTTTACTGTCTGGATGAGCATTTTAACGTCTACAGTATGAAACACGAGCTGTGTGGTTTTAAATGTGGCGTGATTGTGCCAGATTTGGTGGTTCACGAATCCCAGAAACAGCTGTCGTACTGGGATTTTCATGCACTACAGTGATCAGAGTTAAAGATTGGTGTGATATGCGGCAGACATCGTGCTTGTCTTGTTGGTGAAATCACCTTACTAATGAGAGAGGTCAGCGATGAACGGTCAGACTCCTTAAAGATAACAGGAAGGAGACACGTGCAAAAATAACAGCTCAGTACGTGAGTGGTGTGCAGGCTGGCAACTCTGAATACACAGCTCATACATGCTTGAATGGGATCTGGAGGCTAAAGTGAATCCTACCTGGTACTAGTTAGGTGTAGTTAGTCCACTGAGTGTAGCACAATAGTAAACTGCAACAACATACTGTATAACCCAAAAACATCCCAACTGAAGTATCCTTGAGCAAAATGCTTAACATAAATGATCCTTCTGAAACATATATTTTTTGATAACTTTAAGATGTGTCCTATTTTTGGAAGTGAATCAAATATTCCTATATTTTAGCACATTAAGTATAATGCTGTTATTTCAGGAATGTTTATCCTGCTACAGCCTTCTGTGGTTTTATAATGGATTTGTCAACCATGCAGCCTGGAATCCATTAATACCAGTTCAAGATAAACGGTAGAAGGTGCATGGATCCAGTAACTGAACACTTACAAAGTGAATTGTTTTGGAGCCAATCACTGAAGAAACAGTCAATTAAAACGAACTTACCTTCTTAATAATGTCATCAACCAAAGACAAAAATGAGTGATAGACATGGGAGGCATTTAGGTACTGGTGTTTGTTGGTTTCAGTGGTCAGTTCTCTGGGCCACACAGCCAGTCCACGTTTGTGTTCCAGTTGGTCAGCTGACTTCCTGAGCCAGGTAATGAAGGTCTTGGTAATTAGCTGATGAATTAAATCAGTTATGTAGCTGGTGGAACAGAGCACACAGAAGGCGTGGAAGGGGAGGGGTCAAGGGAAGTCATCTGCAAAGAATATTCTAGAATGTCAGTATCAGGATAGATCACTAGAAAACCTCCATGTCCACTGTGCCTGATTTACATTAGACAACCTGACAAGCAACTACCTTAATTAGGTGACCTTAATTGAAATCAAAAATTAAATAAGTTCCTTTGTCTACCAAGTTTCATTGGGCCCTAACAAAATATATCCCAGTCACTGACGTGCACCATTTTTACAAGATAGTCAAAGTTACACACTTCATGTAGGGCTGGTCATAATGTTTTGGCTCATCAGTGTAAGTGCTAATCTACTCTCCCCACTAATACTTCGTTAAAGCATCATTCTTAGCCAATAATCTGACTGATAATTATTTCAAACATAATTTTCCCTAAATGACACACTTGGCAAAAGACCATAGATGGAGACAAACCATGGCCCATGACTTACATTAGACAACCCGCCAAAAAACTACCTTCATTTGGTAACCTTAATTGAAATAAAAAATTAAAGGCTTGTATGGTATTTTTCATTTGCAATTTAAAAACCCTCCTAGCTGCATTCAAAATACTTGAAAAATAGCAAATTTGGCCTTCCGAGAAATGATAATTGTTCTTTTCATGTATTTACTTTTGTAGAGTCATGACCAGAAGTCATAATAAAGTAACAGAAGTAATTACAGAAATTCAGGCATTATGTATAATAAAAATCTACAAAAATGGCTATTAACTTCAGAACAGCAGCCATACATCAGAAATACTCAAGAAAGTATCATAATAGACTATTTAACTATAATATACATGGACTATTTAAATATAATATAAATGGACTATTTAAATATAATACACACTACCAGTCAAAAGTCTTTGCACACCACAGGTTTTTACCACAAATCCATATATTTTATAAACTGCAGATTTTTATTCTTTGAAACATTGGAAAGTTGACTGAAGAACTGTAAATGAAAATATAAGTCCAGTATAAAACAGGTTTCCTTTATAAAATGGATAGAGTATGTAACAGTGTATGCCTGACATCTTATTAACTGGTTGTACAGTGATGCCATAGTCAAATTCTAGGCTGTCCTTTAACTTTAAATGCACTGGTTAGCTGTTCCATCCCATGAAACAGAGCAGTATTTAATGTCCCTTGCAGAAAGGCAGCCTCAGATTTTCTCTGCTTTTATAACTGCTAGAGGAGGTTACTTTGATTAATCAAAGATATGACATTGTCTTGTTAATAAAGATATTGAAATGGTGAATATACTGTACATTTATTTGTTAGCAAAGAATACCGAGTGTATCTTTAGTAAATGTTAAATCATTAACATGCAAATGTAGAAAATCTCAGTCTTGTGCAAAAACTTTAGACTGGCATACGCACACGCACACGCACACGCACACGCATGTCGGGTAAACATAGCTTTATGGGGACCGCTCATTCATTTCCATGGGAAGAATGCTAACGCTAACTGTGACAACCTTAACTCCTACCCAGCCCTAACCATAACCATAAGTAACCAAGCAAAATACAAGAGTTTTTGCATTTTTAGTTTTTTCATTGCAGTCACAGATTTTTATTAAATTGAGTTTTATGGGGGAAAAAATGGGTATTCATCATGTTGTGGGGACATTGTGTCCCCATAAGGTAAGGTATACCCACTCACACACACACACACGCACGCACACACACAACTACACCTGACTGCGAAGAGCTGCTGCTTAGCTAAATGATCCACCATCCTGCAAGGAAACCCAAAGCAAAAATTATAGCTATAAAAGTTTAAGATTTCTGGGATGTCTTGACCATGACTCCTATTGATTATGGCTAAATGAAGTTTCACTTAATTAAGCAGATCTCCATGTTGGGAGATGACATAGCAGAACATTCAATTTGCTTGGGTGTAATATACTGACATAAGGGAGAGTCCTACAAGATTTCATGTAATACTTAAAATTAACAGAAGTAAGTCATGCGGAAAAACAATAATTTTTGCACTGATTGACCAGTAAAATGCTCACATTTTTTTCTGTATTACTTACAAAAAGGAGGCTATTTTCAGGGCAGGTTAATGGAGAGGGCAGTTTGTTTTCTTCTGTCTGTGGGTAGGACTGACATTTCACTGTTGTAGTCAGAACTAAGGTTATTACGAAATGTTCCATCTGAATTCCTGTTGATACCAACATATATAAAAATGAACAGATAATAGGGCACACTAAGAAATCCGAGCCACGTTGCCTAAGACAGAAGCGATTGTAATCAAGAGCTAACCCAATGTCCAAAGACTGGACACTTTATAAATACACTTCTAATAATTTTTATGCAAAATGCTAAATACTAAATGTTAAAATAGCTCTCTCAGCAGGTCTCTCCCATCAGCTGAGCTGAATTCTGTTATATATAAGATACATTTAGCTTAGCTACTTAGCATATTTTCAAGAACACACCCTGGACACTCGCACCATTCAGTAAACTGACATCAGTGTTGATGGGTCAAAGAACTTCTCAAATGAGGATCTCGAAACCAGAGGTAGGCAATTCAGGTCCAGAGAGTAAAAAGTCCAGACCTCGATTTTCTTCCAACCAACCAGTTCAGCATAATGTCCCAGTCACAGAGTACTTAACAAATCTTGGTCTGGACTTTTACTCTATGGACCAGAAGTACCCGCCTGTGCTCATCGTTAGCTCAATTGGGGTTATTTTAATTTGACAACTTGGCATAAACAGACAGAAGAGAGTGTGAAACCTGTTGTCTCTGTGTGTGCATAGCCAAAGGATGCACAGAGGTCAAAGTACATTTCAAATGGCTGATGAAAGATGCTTAACACTTCATTTTACTATATAGGAACATTTATTTCTTCTCAGTAACTACAAAATGTGTTGTTTTCATTATTCTTATGCTTTCAAAGTTCACATTAAAAGATTTTAAGAATGCAGTTTATTTTTTTAATCTTAACCAGATTTTTCCATCTACATTATAAACATTTAACTAAACTATGTCTACATAAGCTGTTCACAAAATATGATCACTGCTTGAGCCCTAGTGCATTTTCCCTGTTGCACGGCGGCCTTTGCAGTAACGTGCAGCCGAATGTTTATTCTGAGCCATGTCTAGTGATGTGGCAGATGTATGGATGTATGTAATTCCCAAAGCACCTTGCCTGCCAAATCAATATTAACTAAAAGTAGTCTGGAAATTGTACAGGGGGAGGCTGTCCTCCGTCACCCTACAACACGCTCTCCATGGAAAGCCGGAGTTACAATGTGTCATGTAAAACACAGAAAAAATATTGTTCACATGTTGAATTGGGTTGTGCGGCTTCATGAAATATCCACCTGCTAATTGATTGAGCATTTTTTTTAATTCATATGATTATTAGGTCCCTCATTAAATTCCCTGAGATTTTTTGGGAAAAAAGACTGGTGAAATTAAAAAAATAGCTTTTTCTAAGAACACGATAGAATTACTTTGCTTTGCTAAAGGAAAGCATCCACACAGACTTTACCTTAACTAGATAAAATAAAACTTATATGTATCCCTACAAAATATACCTTGTGTTAAATCTTCAGAAAATATCTGCATACTAAAAATAAATAGATCTATTCGGAATTGTTCGGCTAATTTGCCAATTCAGTGGAAATATGTTTTTTTATTCATTGAGGTATTCAATAGTTTGTCATTTAATTCAAGGAGCTTTATTTTCCCAGAATTCCTGTCGCCCTTAGGGTCTGACATCAGACAGGTCTATGTATTGTTGTCCTGCTAGATTGTTATCTTCAACAGGCTATTTATTAATTTCCATGTCCTCAGTTTCTTGGGATGTTTCTTCATTTTTGGGACTTCCAGTGTCCTTTACTTCATTTAGATATTCCTATTCCCCCTCTGGTGCTCCGCTAGGATCGGCTTCTTCTGATGATGTCACTTCCTGTGTCTCCTCACCTTCATTAGTGTTGTCCTTAGCCTCCAGCTCACTGTTTTCCTGTCCTCCATCTCCAGCTTCACCCTCCTCCTTCTCATCCCCACCCACCAGCTCTTCCTCTGCCTGCTTGTCCTCCATCTCGGGAGACGGGTCATTTGCCGTTTCCGCCCCGCAGTCCTCTGCTCCATCCCCTTCCTCCTCACCGTTGACTTCATTTCCATTTACACCAGGAGTGGGGTTGTCTGCTTCTCTCTCGCTCTTCTCCTCGTTCCTGTTTAAGATCTGGGTGGGGTCCTGTTCTCCCTCGTTCATTTCCCCATTTCCATTTACCAAAGGCCTCGTGTCAACTGTGTCTGACTCCTCCTCTCCATCGACTGCAGCTGTTGCTCCATCTTCCTCCTCCTCCAGCTCGCTGGCACCAGGGACAGTAACATCTTCCTCTCTGTCATCATTTCCTCCTGCACTCTCTTCTGTGCCAGTCTCGTTTTCTCCTTTTATCTGTTTGTTTTTTAAAGAAAAGGCCAAATTGAAATTTCATGTATACATTAAAAGTAAAAGCTTTATCCGTCTAAATGTATAATTGATTTTAGTTTGCATTGTACATGCTGAACAGAAAGTTTGGCAATAAAATAGCTAGCTAAGCCACACCAGCGTGCAACTAGCTAAACTGATTTTAAGCTATCAGTCGTACTATTGAGTTAGAAGTGATAAAAGGATAATGTTCATTCACTGCTTTTTATGGAGCCATGTAATGATGACTAAAATGAGTGGTCATCTTCAAGCTTGCTAATAATGTGAGATAAAAGGCTTCAGAATTGGGAACTGGTGGAGAACGTCAATAACTAGGCACGGAAATCACCATAATCTCTCTCAACCTGGCGTTTGCAGCCTTATTTTTCCAGTCACAATTTACATTCTACTTCATATTTCTTCTTCTTGTCAGGTTAAGAATGTGATACCTACTGAACACAGTACAGGCTCAGTCTTCACCTTCTGGATTTACTGTTCATTTTTCATTTTTGGAATGGAACAATTATGCTAATATTTTGACTATACTACACAGGACTGGTGGCAGGCATCAACAGTACCTGTACAATAAGTGACAGGGTTTGCACGTTATTGGCTTTCCCTGACCATCCTTCATGTACTTAATTTAAATATTTGTCTAGACATCTTTCCCTTTGTCTCAAAGTTGTTGAACCAGGGAGAGCACCGCATCCCCTAGTGGTGAACTTTAAGACACCATTTTTTTGTATGCTGGAGTTTAGTAGTGCAAGGGATTTATTGATTTATTTTTAAAATAGATTTTATTAATGGAACAAACACACATGCATACATTTTCACACAAAGGTTAGACGGCTAACAATAAACAGTGACTAAGTCAAAATCATATTTGCATCATTTAAATCGTGTTTACACATAGGGGAGGGGTAATAGAGTTGTGTCAATAATTATAACCAGAACTAAACAATAATAGTAATAATGAGGATTGCGAAGGGAGTAAGTGTAAGGGATTCAGTTGTGTTTGCTCAACCTTTAGTCTTTAACAATCAATTTATTTAAGGAACAACAGTTCCAACAAGAAATGCATACAAAAATAGTATGTAGTCAATTCAAAATGATAAAATATCAATAAAAAAGCCTGTTACACTGTTGGTGTAAGTAACCATATAACCAAAGAGTGTGTACTGTATATATGAAAGAACTGGACTGTAGTTTATTGTGAAACCCAAAATGCAGTAATGCTACTGTAACACTGTGCAGGGACAGTCAGTGAGGCCGCATTCAGTTGGGGGGGGGGTTGCAGGTGGGCCTAGCGCACTGTTCCCAATCCGGTCCTTGGGGACCTGCGGACAGTCCTCATGTTTGCACCCTCCCTACTGGGAGCTGGGAGGAAGCGAAAAGGTGGACTCTCTGGCAGGAAGCAAAAACATGGACCATCTATGTGTCCCCAAGGACCAGATTGGGAAACACTGACCTACCAATATACATTATATTGTACCTGAATTATAAAATAATGCAAATGTATACTAACCTCCTCGGAGGGCAGGGGAGCCTCCGGACTCTCGTGCTGGTTAGCTTCTGGATCTGCAGCATCTTCCTCCTCTCTCTGGTCCCCTTCATCTATATAAGGAAGGGGTGAGTGAGGAGACACAGGAAGTGACATCACCGGAAGAAGCCGATCCTGGTGGAGCAATGGATGGGGAATGGGAATGTCGGAAAGCACAGAAGAAACGGAGAGCAGAAAGAGGGATGGGGGTGTCAGAGTGTGGAGGGGACAGGGTCCCCCGCCCGCGGTCCCCCGCCCGCCGCCTTGCAGGCTGCAGGCCCAAACCCCCACGGCACTCCAGAGAAGCGGGGAGGAGACTCTGTAAACCTGCCGGATTACGGGCCGGCCTGCGGACTCAGATCCGGCTTCTGCTGAAGTGGCGGCGGCGCTTTTAACCCTGGCGGAATGTAAACGGCGAGATGAGCATCCCGCTCAGCAGATGGCGCGTAATCTCAGGGCGCCGTGCAGACCCTGTCACCAGGCCTCTCTCCGGGAGGACGCCTAATAGGATTATACACATCCCCATTCGCACGCATCTCAGAGAAAAGGCTTTTTTTTCTATGCTCAAATCCCTGTCTAATAAACGGGGCTTGACATTTGTAAATAAAAGAATGACTTCAGAATCAGTTCCAATGGGATGTAAAGCATATGGTCTTGTCCTCTTTTGACCTTTGCAGAACAGGTCATATTACTTAATATCTGTCCACACAGGTCTATGAATAAACAGTCCAAATACCTCCAGTTCTGAATCCGGACATGTATATTAGGCCAGTAGCAGTAACATTTACATTTATTTAGCTGGCTTGTAGTCCAAAGCGACGTACAAGTGAGGCAAATGACACATTACAAATATCAGGTGTAAGTGCAGCTAGGCTGAGCTTCCAGTGGATGCCCAGGGACAGTGTAAGTGCAGCTAGGCTGAGATTCCAGTGGATGCCCAGTGACTGTGTAAGGGCAGCTAGGCTGAGCTTCCAGTGGATGCCCAGTGACAGTGTAAGCGCTAATAGAGAGCAGGAGCAGCACATCTTACAAAATAACAAGAGCACATATGAGTGAACATCCTGAGGTAATTTCTGACAGAAACAAATTGAAAAAGCAGCTGCATGAGTGATGATGGACAGATAGAGAGGATCTTCCCATCCAAACAAGTCTGGTTATGGCCAAACCTACCACATGTTCAAACACATGAGTGGGCCATCTTAATGTAAGCAAGTTAAACATATACATATTATGGGCCATATTAATGTAAGCAAGTTAAACATATACATATTATTTATTTAGCACACACTTTTATCCAAAGCAATGTGAAACTGAGCTGGACCCCTGAAGCAACTGGGGGTTAGGGGCCTCAATGGTGACATCACTCTTCTACCCATCGCGGGCTATGTGCTTTTAACATGGGGCCTTGGCGGACACTCGAACCCTAGTCCCAGAGGTGCGAGGAAACATGGCGAACCATTGCACCACCCCCTCTACATTGATCGGGCAAAAAATTACTGGGACAACTTTAATTAGCAGTGGGCAAAGTTTCACAACCATCTAGGTCCAGACGAGTTGCCCTTTGTCTCACCTGAACAGCAACATTACTTAGAAAGCTCAGTCATCACCTTTAGAGCATGAAGGATGATTTACTGTCAGGACTTGATCTAACAGAAACACAAATCATTTCAATTTAAATCATTTACGTGCTGTAAAATCATTTTTTTACACAGACAGTGCTGCACTGGGCTTCGTTGTACACAAACTTCTGCAAATCGCCATTCTCTTGACGATTCACTTTTCATTCAGCAGCTGAGACCACATTTCTGATGCCACAGATTCACTGAAAATAAAGACAAGAATCAACGTGCCAACAAATGTTCTGTTAGGAGTAAAAAGTATCAAGAAGCACTGCAGGGAAACGCTGCTTGTGCTGATGTGTCCGCTCTCTCTTTTCCATAAAGGACTTATTAAAAACAATCCATATTAGCAGTCCTGTAATCTCCTTCAAGAAATAATAAAAAATGAGATCCAGTGAAGTGTACGGGGAAGGCAAGAGCGGCTACTTGATTTCACAAGCTCTTAAGTTGGTAAATCAGCGGGCGTGCCGCTGTACGCTCTGATAAACAAGAAAATTACATTAATGCTTTAAATACTTAATGAGTTATAAATTCAAATAAAAACTGATGAATCAATACACTTTAAATAATTAAGCAGATGAATAAATGTGCGCCACGTAAGTTTCCCGTTCCCCTCGTAACCACAGTAAGAAATATTAGTGCACGGATTATAACATTTTACCAAGGCATTTAATGCATTTCAAATGCAAAACTGATTGAGGTTTTGCTGCAGAGATGAGACGTGATGGCAATAATGGGCTCCTCTGAATATTTTATGGAAATCGGTCGCATTTATTAACTGTAGTCCAAAGCACTGACAGTATGCAAGAAAGTTAATGCGACTATAAACATTTTTAATGCGATTTAGCATGGGGGCCTGCCTTAATTTGAATGTAAATCAAATTAAACACAAAATTTAAAAATCTTGCCTTCATTAAATCCAACGGATAATGGTGGCCATTGAAAACGACTGCTTACTTTGTGCATGCCCCTCTGAAGCACAATTTTCAAAGACAGTTCTCTCTGCATCGCAAGCTATTTACATACCAAAGTCATTATGTGTTCAGTAAGAAATTCAAAATATATCTGGAGTCTGCTACCAGGGGGAATTGTGGCCTATGAAACTCACAGTTAAATAACTCTTGCTTGGCATCGCACTTTTAATAATAGCAGACTTTCAGTTATTTTATATCACCGTATATTAATTTTCTATTCCAATCAACATCACAAGCCAGTTTTTCATTGTGAGGAAATCAAGCGGCCCAATCATTAAAGGCCGGCCAGTCGCTACTCAGTTTCAAATAAAATTATGTTTTATTTTCCATTTGTGCAAGTATGTGAGCAGGTACATCGAAATGTGTTTTGTCACACATCCCATAATACACACAGATAAACAGGTGAAGCTTGGGATCAGAGCCAACGGCACAGCTCAGATTTAATCTGCTCCCAGAGAAGAATGGAACCAACAAGTACAGATCAGGGTCACTCTACTTTATATTAAATACATTTTCGGAACAGACCCCAACAACATATTTCTCACAGAAAAATATGTCATAAAGGCAGTACATGAAACATGTTTGTTTGATGTGTTGATTTGATTGCATGTGTTAGTTCAGGTACCAGGTGCTTCTTAATATACATTTTTCATCACTGTCCGATTTCATCCATAATTTTCCTTAATCATTGATGACTCTTTCCCTTTTATTGTACAAAGGCTGGAGATGTGCATAATATTGTTTACTTTGCAGAAAATGTGCATTATTATTATTATTCAATTTTTTTTTCCTATTCAGGATTAGCTTTGCTGTTATGAGAGGTTTAAAATTCAGGCAACTCTTACAGTTTGGCAGACTGTCCCGATAACACAACGCCGTCATTCACCCTCCACTGCAGTCATCATCTGAAGTTTCTCCAAGTGCATAATCTACTGTGGTCCTAATCAGCGTACGGTCGCCCAGAGTAGCTTCCCCCTTATGTGAGCCTTTTCTGTACCTATCACACTCATGGGAAGATTAGCATGTCCTTCATAATCCAATAAAGTGCCTTTAGAAGGTCAGAAAGCCCCCCGCTTTTGAACCCCAGAACAAATGGAAAGCAGTGTCATGTTGTCCTGATGTACATTTTAACAAGACATGAAGCAGCATGTTTTAATTTCTTATGCAAATCCCCCCCGCACACGCATCTAACTCAAGAGACAGCAGTCCCAAGTTTATGCTGAAAGCTGTTTGTGCTGAAAATGAAGGGACACTTGGGTCACTGTCTGCGAACAGACAGGGCAACATTCAGCTTCCTAGCCTAAAAACAGGCTTCCTTCTAACTGACTGCATTGTTTTGTCACCCCGTATTTTTCACTGGAAAAATCAGCTGCTAAGTTAAAAACACAGAATGACCAGAAGGGTCATTGTTTCCTGGGCCGCACTCAGAAAGTCACTTTAGGGCTCCTGTCCCCTTAGTGTATGACCAAGTGTGACCAGCAGGGGGACCCAAACCTCAGGGGCCCCACACAAATTGGTGGTTGGAGTGTTGGTGAACAGCACCACTGAGGGCTGTTAAAGAGCGAATTTAGTACAGGGTCACTGGACACCCTGAGACTATACTGGAAATGGGGTGACTAAGCAGAAGGCCAGACATGAATTCAGGGGCTGCTGCTGATTAGGCTGTATCCTGCTCCTCTGGTGGGGAATATTAACCTTAAGACTGGAAGCAGCCACATCCAGAAAAAGAGAGAAAACAGGGACTGAGTTCAACTTAATATCCTGACCTAGCAGGTATTTCCAAAAATGCTAGAAATACGCATAGCTTATTTCTTCATTTCGAAAAGGTTTTTATCACAGTGTAATTAAAATTAGCATGTGTCTTTCAGAGAGCAGAAGCTACGATACATCTGCAAAAATACTGTCCCCGGGCATAGTATGGTCTCTGCAGTATTTAATAGAGCGTAATTTAATGCTGAATAGGCACGCTTTATTTTTTTAAGGGCAGATAAAGAATGTGAATATATAAATAAAAATATATAAATGCGAGGATACAATAAAGTTCTGTCTTAGGAGATAATGAAAGGATGTGGTTATGTCTCCGGATCTTGCTGTGTTTTAAAAGGAAGGAATGTGTTGCTGTACAATTTAGGCAATTTGCATAAATGCTAAACGGAGCAGTTCACTGCCAGATTAACTGTCACATTTTATTGTTGCGTCGTTTCCTTTTTTTTCTATTTTAATTCAGCAGGTACAACAAAACAAGGCGGCCCCCAGTGAGCGGCCCCCGGAGAGCGGCCCCCGGAGAGCGGCCCCCGGCAGGAGGCCCGGCCACTCAGGCCAGCTCGGCGCGTCATCACAGAAATTGCGCGGCGCTTAATTGCGCAAAATTTAAATGTCCAGCCGCTTTGTGCAGGAGAATAATTTGCTTCTTTGACAGATATTAATTCCACTTGGGAGAGCGAGTCAAAAATAAGGAAGATTAGCAAAAAAAATAAAAAGAAGAAAGTGAAAAGCCACAAATGTTATGGAGAACATTGCTCAGTATATAAGTATTAATAATAAAAATCCAACAACGACTATGAAACTTTCATTGGTATATGCATTATAATAATAATTATTATTAATAATAATAATAATAATAATCATAATAATCATAAAATACTCCATGTGGTGATTCATGCAATAGGACACCAGAAGTGCATGAACTGCTCAGCTAGCACTGCAGCTCCCGGGATGGAAGTTGCCTCCTCGCACTGTGGGCGGGGACAGGCGGCGGCCACACGCACGGGGTCTGCCGGCCACCCGCGCACGGCTCGGCCGAGGCTGCTGTGACGTCAGCCTCTGCAGAGCACTGGCAGACGGCTGCCGCCGGGCTTGATGACAGATACTCACTAACCACGAGGAGATCAGGACTCCTGGAAGGCTGCTTGGAACTTAACGGCCAATCGGCTGTCCAGTTCATCATAATTACATCACTTCCTCTGTCGATCGGAGATGTATGCACCTCCCACTTCAGTATATATAATATATGCCCATGCAGCTGTACACCTCATCTCAGTCCCATATATAAAGTCTCAAAAGAATCCGGGGGGCGGGGGGGGTGGGTTTGCTGAAACCTTAATGCCATGTCGTTCCTAAGTTCTATCTTTTAACATAAAAGGCTTAAGAAGGCTTCGGGAAACACTCCTGAACTCCAGAAAACAGTTACGCTGAGACCACAAAGTATAGGCTTAACTTTATTACCAAGAAAAAAAGGGCACATTCAACAAAGCAACAATGTAATAATACAGACATCACACATATGCGGTTTTAAAGGTTAATTAACATGCCAGGGATCCTGGTTGCTCACACAATTCTTTATCCCTCTCTGTGCTCCGTTGCTTTAATCTTTTAGTTCTGTACCCTACCGCCTGCAACCTAACGACTCCACTAATTAGTAGTAGTGAAGTCTATCACTTGAGAGACCCGAATGCTTGGTTTATACCGCCCACCGGAAGACCTTTTCTAAAGGACAATCATGTAACATTGACCTCTTGGCGAGCAGGATGTACGGGCATGTTTCACCAAGCTCACGCGGTCCTCACACACCCCGATCTTCCTCAAGACATCATCTTAACAACACTTATCAGATTAGTTTCTTTTTCTCTCCCCGTTTTCTCTCGTCCAAATCAAATTTTAAAAACCGTCCAACGGCCGGCAGTTGGCACTCCGGCTGAGTGACACGGTATCTACGCAAATCACATTTCTTAATCGTGAAATTGGCCCCAAAAACTGTTCTCAAGAAGGCAAAACAACATGCGTTAAGTGTGAGCTTCTCTCAGAAGGCTGCTAAGTCTCTTACAGGCTAACTGAGGAATGCCAAAAAGTCGTATTTACAAGCCGTACGTTTGCTACGTATCTGACGTAACATGCCAACCTCTAAAGCAATAGCTAACATTCTACTTTACTTTTACCTACATTTTTAATTTCTCATCTTCATTCTACAATTACTAATATCATACCTCTTTTTTGTCTCGTTATGCCATTTTATTTATATTTTTAGTTTAATAATTTCATTTATTTTCATGTATCATTTCATATTTCTTCTTTGTATTATCTATTTCCTTTTGAGCATAACCCAGGAGGCAGGTGTGCATTTCTGTACACTGTGTGTGCGCAGATGCCACAAAACACTTGCAGCTTGAAACGTTTTTGCCTTCTAGACATGCAGAATATCTGTCTACCTGAATACTGCGCTGCCCAGTAGGGAATGAGCAGGAAAGCTGTTTATGCCAGTCAGCCAAGAGCACTGCTTTATAAAACTCCCGCCAGTACTTCATTCATGCCTTTTACTGCAGCTGCTATGAGAGATTACTTCAGTATGATAATAGAAGAAAAAAAAAAATGCACACAGGTTCTAAATTAAGAAGATGTAAAACTCGTAATAAACTTACAGAGGTTTGTTAGGTCTCAGAGGAAGCCATCAGGTTCTCGCATCCTTCGTGATGGACATTTGAATAAAATATCCCAACAGCCATCCCACAATTGTCAAGACTAATTATATTTCTCCAGATGCCCTGTTCACATCAATTTGCAGAACGTTCTAGCGCGTCTGCTCCCCCCGGCCTGTGCGAGATGTTCTTTGATACACCTCTGAAAAGCTCAGTTAATTTGCACCAAACCCCAGGGCATCAGCCAAAAGGGATATATATTTTTTTTATTCAGCTGCTCTATCTTGGAGACGTCAGGAATGAAGGATTTATCAAACAAAAACAGGATATGAAAATGTGTTCAGTTACGATGTGTTCAGTTACGATGTGTTCAGTTTACTTCCACTACTGCTATAGCCCGACATCTTCCAACTATAGATGTGCCAGTTTGTCTAAAAACAGCACGAGTGCCTGATGCATTTGGCTATTAAAACTTATATTCGGACACAAACCTGTACTGTATTATAATCAAATACACATCGAATATAAACCTTAGTAGTCCTACAATCAAATTTTGATCCCTAAGTGGTTCAACATGAACATATTCCGAAAAAACAATCAAATCTGTATCCAGTACACAGCCTTCGGTTGAGACCGCGATAAATTATTACTGAATTTAAAAAAGCAGAGAGCGGATGTTGGATAGAAGAACGAGAGGCAGAATGTCTCTCATCACCTGGGGAAATTAGTAACCCTCCATCAGCCATCTGGGTGCTAACTGGGCCTCCTGCATTTTAATGGACTATTATGCGAACACCGCTGCCACTACCGTTCCTTACAAACGACTCCGCTTTCCCTAGCTTTAGAAATTTTCAATCTACTCCAGGGTGTTGCTTTCAAGAACAGCTGAATTACATCTTAGCTGCGTTTAAAATAAGAAGGTGATGTAATGCGATTTACCCAATGATCCGTACTGCTCAAAGGGTCCCTTCCCTGGACCACTAGCACCACCTAGTGGCTGAGTGAAGCGGTGGGCTTTCGAAGAACACTGGGATTACATCATCCAGTCATGAAGAGCAACACTGAGCATGTAGCATGTGGCAAAATGGGAATGTGTCGCATGCTGACACTCAGATCTTTGTTAAAGGAAAGGGAGGCTGCACAGCAAAATGACTGCTGTGTATCCGTGTAAAATTAAAACAAACATGTACAGGAATCATTGTGGTGAATGTTAATAGCACGTGGGTCATTATCTTTTTACAACCGAGTTTGCAATGGCAATGAAAATCACAAATTGGATAAAGACCTCTGCTTTTAGTCCTGGAGCGCCATCTGCTGTACACCTACAGAACCACAAGATCCTTTAAATATTCAAAAAATCTGTGCAGTGATGGTTTTATATAATGTTTTTGCCTACCTTAAAACCTGCATACACTATTCACATATATGTAAATACATAACTCAAAAATGACGCTGGAACAAAATGCATACACAAATTAAACATGACCAAATGTAAACAGAAAATCTAATTTAATAGAATAAGAACCCTGGGCAAAAATAAGGCTAATTAATTGAAATAATTAAAATGCTGATCAATTTTGATATGCTCGGTCTCTGTGAAAAATGAATTAAAAATCTCTGACACGCCTACAACCACGTATCCACATTGCTCGCTGTTGTGCTGATGATATACCAATTATTCCCTAACAATTTAGAGAAAAATCACGGCACACGGGACACAGATCTCAAGCCTCTGAAATGCTTTCCCAGGAACTGAAGACCCAATCAGTTAACGCTTTAAGTTATGCAGCATCCAAGGGCTAAAGCTACAAATTTCAGGTGCTTCAAATTTCATTTAATGTTATTGATTAATTTAGCAGGAGTGTTATCATTAGCATTGTCTGAACTAAAGGCCGGCGAGCTGCAGTGATTGCTGGGCTGCTGTAGTACCGTGTTCATTCAGCTCCTGCCAGGGAGACAGACGCTCTTACCGTTGTCCTGGGCTCCTAGCGACATGGTCAGCATGCTCTTCCTCTGCCTCAGCTTCATCAGCTGGGCCTGGAAATGCTGTGCCTCATTGCCTTGGTTCGGGGACCCCATCTTAGAATTTGATGCACCATTGGTTGCTTCCATCGATTTACTCTGATCACTGTCCACCTGCGGGTCGCAAAGGGAAGTTGAGCTTCTTCAGCTGTCATGTGCTTCACTTCTCTGATCAAGCCTAGGAAAAGTAATGATTACATCCTAGAACAGTCTTTCCCAGTATGGTCCTCGGGGACCACACACACTCCACAGTTTTGCTCCCCGGGAGCTGGGAGGGAGCAAAAACGTGGACTGTCTGGCAGGGAGCTGGGAGGGAGCAAAAACGTGGACTGTCTGGCAGGGAGCTGGGAGGGAGCAAAAACGTGGATGGTCTGTGGTGTCCCAGAGGTCAAGGTTGGGAAACACTGCTCTAGAATGTAGATTCTAAATTCCCCGATGAAGGCATCCAGTGAAACTGCATTTTTACCCATGATTCCACAAATAACCATGAACTGAGCAAGACAGTTAACCTATCAACCTATGCTTAAAAACACATTTTATTACTGCCATTACATGTATATACATAAAGTTTTTGACTTATTTTTCCTCATATATCAGTATTGTTTTAATATTCCCCCTGTTGACCAATAAAGTATGACCTATGTTATCTACCTATGTTTTTGTTAAAACAGCATGGAGCAGAGAACAACTGAAGTGAAATATTTCTATACATGGACTGAAAGAATCAGAATAGTTATGTTGAACCAAAAGACAAGACAGATAAAGTCAGAAGCCTAATATTAAAAAAAAAATATCTACTGAACAGACATATAAAGCAGCCCCGATTCGTTTTTTTTTTTCTTTCATATTAAAGTCCTTCTTTCCGGTAAATTCCTACGTCCAGCCCCCCCGGTGCCCCTTAAGTGGCAGAAAGCCCAGGTATAACAGCCATGTGCACTTACGGGTCCGCTCTGTTTTTTCACTCTGTAAATCGGAGGCAGGGAGGCAGCCTTTGACCTACAAAATCACATCTGACAGTTTTCATGTTCATACATTTCGATTGCAGATTCCGACAGAACACTTAGACTGATGTAGAGACATTCAAAGAATGGCATGTACTGGGAAGGCCATACAGACCTGGAAACACTTGTACCAACATCAAAATATCAAAATATAGAAGCAAGCGTAAAGTTACTAAAAATTAAATTAGGCAATAAGTACACTTCAACCCTGGCCAGAATAGGTTGAGAAGATGGATGAACGTGTGTATTACTTATAAAACATATGCTATCTGTATGAATAAAGACAATGTTAATTAGGTATTTCTAGGTTAGATGGTTCAAATAAACTCTACCCAACAAATCTTCTCATCGATGCTGGTTTGGCAAATATGAGGTCACTATAGGGGAGCTTCTTAAACCTCTCTCGCCCAACAGCCACGTAGTACTGTCCGCTTTCCAGGTCATTTCCATCGCTGACGAATGTCCCATCGAGCGTGTACAGGCTGCCAAGAATGAAACACGGTGGCCTTTAGGTCTGAATACATGAAATACAGGGAAAGTTTTTATCACCTTAAGAGAAGAAAGTTTCTTAATCTGAGGGCGATCCGGTGCAATCAAAAACATAAATGCAATTAATGACTTTCATGTCGTGTTCTAAGCACCACGAGTCCCAGCCTGAAGTTAAGGTTAAACGTGTTAACTTGTACAGCAGCTACCTGCGAACGCCTCCCATAATCCTGAGATTCATCTTCTCGGTGATCATCTCCAGCACTCGCTCGAAAAGGCCGAGCATCCGCTGCGGTATCAGAAGCCGGACAGGGGGGTTCAGTATGTCTCCATTCGCCACCACGCTGGAAAATGGCAAAGTGCGTCAGCAGTGGGCACTGCGAAGACACACGCCTTCCCCTGCCGGCACGCCGAACCCGGGTGGAAGAGTTCTACGTGCCAGTGGACTTACAAAATCAGACAGGGCTCTTTGATGGGTTTCAGGAACCTCGCTGACGCAACTATATGGCTTTGGGCCGCCGGCTTTACCTGAGAACGACAGAAGAAAAAGAGATTTGAAAAAGGCACTAAAAGCCACAGTTCTATGACATAATTTTACAACATTAAGCACTATTTATTACTGTACTGTATCTTCAACGAGGCACAATGTAACTGTAGCTGTGCATATCCAATCAGGTAAAAATAGAAGCTATACAATTACATTAGATGGCACATAATGAATTATTCATGAAGAAACACTAGCGCCTCAACTGATTACAGTGTTAAGCACTTTTCCCTCATTAATTATCCGTTGTTAATCATTAGCTAGCTCATGAAGTATGCACACGGCTTCGTGTAACTATAATTTCGCTAAACAGCAAACCATGTAGCTACAAAGAGCAGCAAAACACCAGCAGTGCGTCTGCCTGTAATCCACGTCCTCACAGACACAGGCTGACACACTGCGCTATACACTGCGAAAAAGGGCTTTTCAAATTTAAGATAAACTGTTTCTGTTTTGAGACAAGACGGCCTAAAACTAGCTAAATTATCTGCCAGCGCAGTAAGAAAATTGTTCTCGGTAAGATTTCCTAAAATAAGACAATATGCCTAAATGCAAGCAAATTAATCCTGTTCATAAGATGTCATATTAGTTTATTAATGAAATTTTGTCTAAATATAAGAAAATTATACTTAAATTTTCATTTTTTTGCAGTGCATAACCAGGTTCTTAATTTCCCCAAGTACGTAACTCCAAAGCAAAATCTCATGTCTGTAACGCACAAAAAAATGAGGCCAGCTCTCATTTGTGAGCCATCCAATCTAGATTTTATTAGGGCCGAGTCTGGTATGGATTGTACTGGAGGGCTGGGACAGTAAAATGGTCGAACTCTCGTTTCATTGGGCCCCATTCCCTAGCAACGGCGATCCACGCTCCTGCGGGATAAAGAGACATTGGGGGCCCAGGGGTCGAGGCCGAGGCGCTGTGAGCTTTCACAAAAATAATGCTTGGAGGGCTCTCTAATTGAAACAATCAGAGAGAACAAGAGGGTGATATGGGGCAGTGCGGCCCCCGCGAATAGATTGCCTGTTTAAGCCTGTCTGGTCTTGCCAATTACCTGGGAAACCAGTAGCTCAGCTCCTACTCATAAAAAGCTTTGGGTAAAAACAAGGAAACATGGTGAACAAATTCACGTACTGGATTTTACAAGACGACAAAAAGGTTCCTACACTTGCGTCGTTTGCAATGTAACGGGAATGCTGACTAAATCTCTGGGCGAAGGGAGAATTCTCGCAGAAACCGACCAGAGAGGAGCCACGGGAGCAATCATAAGGTTTGACGCCACACATGTCCAGACACTGCTGCTGCTCCAGGAATGAATATTTAATCGTTAGCGCGATATCACACTTCAGCAGCAGGGAGGATGGGTGAACATTACACCTCGTCTATCTGATAACTCTAACAGGAGGGGCAAACTGCTTTCATTGGGGCGCAGGAGCGGAAAGTTAGAAGTGAAATACAAGAAGAGCACAAGCAGCAAATACTGACACTTTAATATTTTTACACCCCCTATTGCATTCCTATTGTAAAACGCAATTTTCCTTATTTTACAGGAGCTAACATCTTTTTATAAATTGATCAAAATTAAACATGAAATGAATGCATCGATAGTCTTCATACTTTCATGTTAAAGTAACGCTAGTAAAATTTTACATTTTTATTAATCTGTAACTGAAATGATTCCCTATTCATTACACTTCTGCAACTTTATTTTAAAATTTTCCTTATTTCTTTATTAACTCAATTTTAACATCTCCCTGAGAGACTGAGCCTGGTGCTTTTTTCATTTCCCCAAGTGCACAGTCCTGACGCATCTCACCCAGAGAGCTGCTGCATGCATCCCCTTCCTTGCCGGCTGACTCTTTCACCAAGACTTAGAGAGAAAAATCTGTCACAGGAACAACGGTGAGGAATTTCTGCACAGCTGGTTCTCATTTGCGGGTGTGACACTGGCAGTTTGATGGGGGTATTATGTGAGCTGTGCTCTGTCCTAATGGGATTCTCTATCACTAATCCCAAATCTGCAAATCCACTCCAATGAGCCGTGCTGCCATAATGAACTGCTTTTAAACAAGTCGCATCCACTAGCAAATTTAATTGCGTCTTTTTCCTGAGGTGGCAGAGGGTTTTAATACGAGGCATTTTTCATGGCTATGAGGACAACCGGGAAGGCTTGTTGAGCTAAATGGTTTGCCTGTTGTGGGTCAGACCGCTCCCTGAAAAAGTCCCTAATGTCCTCTCTGATTCCTAGGAACTACCGAAAGCATTTCGATCTGGACGCTACCATCCATATGGATTTTCTTTCAGTGGACCATCACTTACAATCAGTAACGGTCAAAGCTTAGGAAGGGCCCTTGCCGAATTTCACTGGCTGAGTTCACCTTGGGTTGGGCAGTGAGCTGTACACAATCCTCGCACCAAGGGCGGCTGGATTGCCGGTGGTGAGGCTTGCCAGGGAGGAGCCAGTCGACACCCCCTCAAAAAAAACGGCACCCTAGGCAGCAGCCTATGTCAACTAATGGGTTGCCCGGCAATGAGGGGAGGGTCACTTTGGGCCCCTCCGCCTTCCATGCGTTTGTACAGTTTGCTGCATCCTCATTGTTTTGTCTAGAAGAAACTGGTCGGCAAATTTTCTGTTATAGACTCCCTATCTTTGATTTTCTTTTCCATTCGCGGTGCCGCTGGGATATGATCGCTTCACGGCTGCATATGACATTAACGTTAGCTAGTGAGTAGAGTCAGAAGATCGTAGTTAGCCGTTTAGCGGAATGTGCTGCTCCAGCATCTCCTAAATAACAACGCATTTATTTAATATTTAGTGTAGTGCCCCCCCCCCAGTCCACAGGGGCCCCACACAAACGCATGGTTTGAGTAGTAGCAAATTCTGCCACTGTGTACTATGAGAAATGGACCCACAATCCTCCTACCCCAACATCTGTCCAGGATTCATTGTTCAGCTTGTTCCTTTCTCCCGTTTCATAATTCTATTTTTCTGCAGAGAACTTAGACAGAAAAGGCAGGTAGAGATGGTCTGTGATATGACACTTGGATATTATTGTACATTACTCAGTAAGCCCACTACAGGTTTTTATGGTCAAGTGGAGCAGGCTTAATTACCTCTGATGAAGACAATTTCGCATTAAGTAAAGCTACTCCTTGACATTGCGGTAATCGCTTTCACTTTCCTCCCAAAAAAAAAAAACAGATTCCTATATCTGATTTGTTTGTCCTTGGCCAAAACGTGGGCCTTGGAAATGTCCTCATGTCAAAAATCAGACTCAATTATTGTGAGGTTATACCACGGCAAAAGGAGAGGGGGAGATACGACTACAGCTGTCATTATCAAGACAAACAGTCTGTAGGGTTTCAATTGAAGCAAGAATATTAAGTCCCCCTCAAATGACAGCAAAAGAAAGCCATTCTGCATTACTCCCAATCGCACATGCCAGCAGCACAATGCTTTCTGCAAGTGTAAGTCAGGTAATTCACAGTGCTGCAGCAGAATAGATGAATAAATGAATGATCTACCACAAAATGAAGGCAGGACCTTACCATTATTCCATTATTCTGAAGAAGCTTTTTCTTTTTGGTCCCGATCTGTGAATAGCTGGAAAGGATGGGCAAAATAATTTGTGTATTTCAAAAGCAATAATAACCAAGCATGTAAACACTCGAACTGCAACAACTACGAATCACAATGCTGTGATAAATGCAACACTCCTTAGCTTTAAGGCTTCCTATATTTATCTAGATGTTCAGCTGCAGAATATTCCCGGCCAAGCACCACTGTAAATAATGTGTCCAAAAACAAAATCTAAAAATAGAGATATACTCCAAATGTACTCTGTGGAGAATAAGCATGCAGAGCTGAATGGCGAATGAAACAAACATAGTGATACAATATTGACACAATAAACATCCAGAAATTTCAGGGCAATACCTAATTTTACTGATATATATATATATGCACACACACACATATTTCTATGGGCAAAACCCTAATTCCAACAACAACCTTAACCCCTAACCTTAACCATAAGTAACCAAAGAAAGTACAAGACTTTTGGTATTTTTAGTTATTTGATTGCAGGCACAGACTTTTATAAAATTGAGTTTCCACTTGTGGGGACTCAAAAAATGGCCCACAACGTTACAACCGTGTAACACCGTGGGGACATTTGGTCCCCAAAATGTAACGTACACCTGGATCACACTAACACACGCGCGCTGGCGTAAAGTTACAGGGCGCGCGCACACACACACACACACACACACACAAGACTTGCAGAAACTAACTTGTGGTCATGTAAACCAAGAAATAAATAGGATTTAAAACAATATATTATTTTACAGTTTTTTCCTAGTTCTCACTCACTCCAGCTTCTTGAACCTCTCGCTCCCCGCGGCCACGTAGCGCTGCCCGCTCTGGATGTGCTGCATGGAGGAGACCCGGTGTCCGGCTTTCGGCGTGTAGATGTTCCTCACGGCGCCGAACGAAGCCTGCACGCCGCCGGTTACCTCCCGCAGGAAGGTCTCGAAGCTGGACACCTTCTTCTCGTTAATGACCAGCCGGCGGCCCTCGTAATAAGGATCGCCGTTGCGATATACGTATATATTTTTCACGACGGGCTGGGACAGGAAGCTGGGCTTCTCTGCGCTCATGATGCGCCCTTAATTTAGTTACTACCTATAGCCTTCAAGGTATTAGACGAGCACTAGAAAATTTGGGACTACGATGCAATTTACAACAGTCGTGATATTAAAAAGTGCATGATGAGTATTGCTCTTCTTAACGCTCCGGATGGAAGAGAGCGCACTTTCCCTTAACTTTCCGTAGATAACTCACGCAAACTGCATATTCCTCAGCAAATCATACCAGCCTGCAGCTTTATTTCAAGGCGACGCTGTCTGGCTGTTTCGAAGCACTGGTGCCTAAGCATTGATATGGCAGCTGAGAGGACGCATGTCATGCACCGCTTTGCATGAAGCTCTGAGATATCAGGGGAAGCTTCCCAACCATCTCCAAATGTTTCTATAGAAACATCTCCAGCAGCAGAAACTCACGCACCATCTTCCTGCAACGTGATTAACGTAATCAACAGCTAGAGGACAAGCGCTGCCTGCTTCCTTTCACATGTTAGGTCCAGCCAGCTTAAAGCCACCAGGAGATCGCCAGTATTGCCCCCAAACTTTGAGCCTCACAACCAGGCAACGCTTTAATGAGGCGCCCAGAGAATTGGTTGCAGCGCGCAGCCAGGATGTTGCTTCCCCATAGATGCGCTATGTCCGTATCTAAAAACATGTTTGTTCCCCCCACAGTATGACAACAAACAGCTAAATAGCCTCGTTCGCGGACAACAAAAGCTATAAGATCAACTGTAAAATAAAAATAATTGCATTTATCTATAAAGCAGGCCTAGCTACTACCTACTCGATCTAAGCAATCTCATGTTTAACTCCATAAATAAGTTTTGTTTATACAGAATTACAGTAATTTACGCTTAACGTAACGAACAAATTGATAAAGTAGTAACATAGAAGAACATTTTAAAGGCTAGCTGCTGTTAGTCTAGTTAATCAGCCATGGTGAGTGAGAGGGCATTTATGTTTTATATGATATCTACATAGGTCTATAAATTATAGGCCTAAATATATCTCCCTGATTCAAGTAAAGAAATCTAGATATAATTATCAATGACAGACGTTACAAATGCGTTGTAAAAATATGTTTTATAGAATAATCTGCCTTTAATTTTCAGCTAAAACATTATATTACGGTATATTACATGTAACGCAGATTCAATTCAAAGCAGTATTTCAGCTCGTCCACAAGATGGCAGAATAACACAGAAGTGGTGCTTATGTGTAACCCTCAAAGAATCCACGCAAAACCCAGACTTTTAGCTTATTCTACTGCGACATGAGGTACAATTAGTCGCTTGTGAATAAAAGTTAGTTTCACAATATGTATATTATGCAGTTAATTGATATTACTGTTTATTTAATCGCTAAAGTTATATAATTCCTAATTTTCCTTCAGTGATCAGGTGTTACTTTATCTCTCCTGTGTGATACAATTTTCATTTTGTTTTACCACACCAATTACCCATCTTTTTGCAAAAGAAAAGGAAATACTTCTGTTACCTTAAAATAGTATGTAGACAATTTTTGTTTATTTTTTTGACTGAAGTTGTACAGCAGCTGAAATTGGGGCGTGATGAGCGTAGTGAGTGGTAACAAAACTTAAGAAGCAGCCCTCTGGGAAGAGGGGGGTGAATCCCACCCTCGCTCTGTCTGTGCAGTTTGCGTCCTCGTGTTACACGAGTTTCCTCCGGGTACTCCAGTTTCCCCTCACAGTCCCAAGATGTACAGATAGGATAATTGGTGTCTCTGAACTACACACAGTGTTTGCCACTGAGTGTGTGTATGTGCCCTGTGATGGACTGGCTTCCCAGCCGGTGTGAACCCAGGCCTGGTGCTCTACACTGCATGATGAACCTAACCAGGATACGTGCAGTGGTGCAGTGGTGGTTCTAGACCTTTTCAACTGGGGGGCGGACCAGGGCCAGTTGTTCTGTTAGGGGGGGCAGATGCATTTGACCTTAATGTCCTCCAAGTATTATTTTCACTAGACTGCTAACATTAAGAAGCAAAAGACAATTTTGTCATTTATGCAATATTTTCCAGTTACATTTTCCAGTTTTTACAAATATGTATCACATTTAACAGCCACCTCTAAAAGAATGTCCCAGAAGAATTCTTTACTTTTACTGTAATCTGGAACATTCTTACATGGTGCTGAAACAGGCCTTCACTTGGTAAGAATCCTCCTTGTAAAACGTGTATTTTTAATTTATTTTGAGCAGGGTTGTTTATATCAGCCAGCTCACACCTGTAGCACTGTGGATTCTATAGCTGCTCTGGGCAGTCCTGCAAAGGACTGATGTCACTGCAATGTGTATGCCCTGCAATGGACTGATGTCACTGCAATGTGTGTGCCCTGCAATGGACTGATGTCACTGCAATGTGTGTGCCCTGCAATGGACTGATGTCACTGCAATGTGTGTGCCCTGCAGTGGACTGATATCCCTATGGTGTGTGTGCCCTGCAATGGACTGATGTCACTGCAATGCGTGTGTCCTGCAATGGACTGATGTCCCTACAGTGTGTATGTCCTGCAGTGGTTTGTGGAAAATGGAATGGTTGGATTATGTTAAGCACGTTTTCTGATAAAACAGTATTTTGGCCTGGTACCTGTATTGGTTTAAGTACTGGTTGTTTTCGGAGAATATAGCATATTTAGCAGCATCTCTGCTTCACACTAACCTCTCATGTGACTCCACAGGCCGAAGGAGAATGAATTGTTTTATATGACAGCTTTTTCCCAGCATGCATAGCATTCACTTCATAATGGAAGTTTGCAGATCATAAGAAAGTATCCCAGGTTATAGCTTAAAGGCTCCTCTGGGACCTGGTAACAACCAATCATTGTGATTCTGATTCAAGCCAAAAAATTAAACTTAACTCTATTTTGCTAGCTGAGGTGCCAGTAATTACATGCCTCATAATTGAAACTCCTGACAGAAAATACAATGTAAAAGGATCAACTATTAAACAGTCAACACAGGAATCCATGGAGAAGCAGATGCTATCCAGAAAATCTGAACTTTTACACTAAATGTGTCTCTAGTGACATTTGTTAATTGGTAATAAAACTGTGTAATTTTTTGCAGTTCATCTTCGATACTCCAAAGTACCAACTATTTTGATATCTGCTTTTGCAGAAACAGGTAACATTCGAATTCAGTTTTATATTAAGGATGCATTCAACATTTACATATTTAACTCAATAACACATTTACCTGTGATAATAATTATATTTGAATAATATCATGTCCCCATAACGGACCTCAGATGAAATATTAAGTGTAACAAAATGGAACAGAACTGCAACTCAAATACCTTTTGAGTTTCTTACTTGTAAATTCCCATATTCCATCCATCCATCCAGGTCAGGGTAGCAGGGGGGCCTAGAGCCAATCCCAGACCGAATAAATCAGGCGTACACACTGAACAGGATTAGAGCCCAGTGTCACATTTTAATATTTTAATCTGCTCTGACTTATGTGTTTCTGCATCCTGTAATTTTTTACATGTTGAGAAGCAAATGTCTGAATTATGCCAGGGAGGAGGGGACCTTCATCTCTGCGGTGCCCGTTACGTAATTACACTTAAAATCGAGTTTGGTCATCTTAGCGAACATTGATGTGACGGAAATCCACAACAGAGGCTGTGAGTGGCGCTGTGATGGAGGCCTCGCTCTAAACGGAGAGCATCTACCCACCTGGGTCCCATTATAATATAATAATACGCTGCAAATAAGATGCTCAATCAACATATGCTAAGCAGGAGATTTTTTTGTGGTATCATTTTTGGTCTATAATTTGCTTTATGTTCTGCTTCAGATGTTTTGATTTTTTTCGCCTGTTTTACAGACACTGATCTATAGCTTTTAATGGTGCTCAGGTGTTCCTCCTCAGTGTTTCGTAAACTCCTTGTAGATTATTTTCAGGAACTTTTATCATGTCTCTGATTTTTTTTTTTGACCCATAATGAACTGAGTGGATTCGGGGTCATGCAGGCTGTCTGGAGAAAAGCCAGACCAATTACCTGCATTGTTCTTGTGATCATTTTGTTCTTTCCCAGTCGGTTACATCTGAATGCCAGTTCTGAAGACTGATAGAAAGTCTCATTAACAGTTCGGATAAATTGTATTGTCAATGTGGTGTAGATCCAATACTCATATTTAGGTTTCCAAACAATATCCACTCTTGAGATCCACTGACAGGATGCTCTCAGCATTGCCCTCCGACTGACCTGGCCTGGCTACCTGCTTCTACAAAGGAAAAACCTCCACAAAGTGATTTCAGCCACATTAAGTGTTTTTTCAAAGCACATAATACAATGCTAATGCTAATGTACGAGACTACAAAATAACGGGCAGTTTTCTCCAAGTAACGCAAATAAATCTCTTTTTTTTATATGTGTGTCAGGACCTGAGGTCTTTTACTAGATAACTGAAACAGAGAATGGATGAATGCATGAATGTATTTTGGGTTAAAAAAGAGCCAGAACTGAAAGATGACTTTGCGTAACGCCTACTGTATGGTTAATAACACAAGGTTGAAATGCTCACATACTTTAATACTTGTGTGTGTTGCATTTTTATTACTGGTATAGAGTTTCGTTTGTGTAGCGCAGGCAAACACCAGCATCTTCACCATCTGCTTCACACTGCACACTTTTCCTGGTGAGTGTCACGGTGGTAGCAAGCTTTGCCAGTCAGACCACTAGGGACCTGTAGTTCGTTCACAGGATGCCCAGATGTTAATCTGGGGCATACAGTCCCTCCAGCATGTCCTGTGCTTGCACTAGGGCATCTACCCGTTGGAACGTAACAAGAGGACATCTGAATCAGCCAAGCTGGCTCCTCTTGAAAGAACAACGGTTCTATTTCGAGATCTCTCCAGGTCTCTGAACTCCTCATCCCTCTCACCAAGAGGTAGTCTGGAAACTCGAACCCTCTCCTCATTTTTCCCCACCGGTACTCACGACCTTGTTCTTTCAGTCATTGCCCAAGGCTCGTGTCCACAGTAGGCATTGGGGAGGTACATTGATAAACCTCAATCTTTGTTCAGTGACTTGGGTGCTGCTTCACCACCGTGGATGTCTGTTCACGCAAGTGTCCCAAACTCATGGCGCCAAAAGAGCCCTAAAGCCGATCGTTGAACTTTAGCCTGATGTAGTCCAGTGCCAAGTACTCTAATGAACATCCTCCTGTTCGAACCTGGTGCTTATCATGGACAGCTTGGGGCTTGTAAAGAGGTCAATAAACAGCAGTAAGAGTTTGCCACTGCAACTAGCAGTGTCATGGTGACAACACTCTGCTCCAATGGAAAAAACCCAGCTGGCCTCAGTGGGTGGATCCCAGTAACCCTATCCTAGACAGGGAACTCTGCTTTTTGGTACCTTTCATGGGGGTGTCTGTTGGGTCATAGTTTGTCTAGCTTCTCCACAGAGGCCTATTCACCATGGGAAGCCCTACCAGGAAATCGGGCTTCAGAAGACTGATCTCTGTGGCTTGTCAAACCATGCAAACCTCACCACCATGATAAGGTGACAATCCTCCAATGGGAGATCCCAGTAGGCAAGAATTTATTCTGAGTGAGCAATACTGACAGAGCATGTCGTTAGCAGTTTATGATTGTACTTAGAAGAAATACAATTAAAACTATCTATTTAGGACTATGTATATGTTATATACAGTAAACATAACACAGCATCAGACCTTCCTTACTGAACCCATGGATACATAAATATGCCATAATAAAAACCACAGAGAGGTGCGGGAAATGCTTTTGTTAAATGGATGAAATTCCTCATGAGATTACCGGACCGTTTGCCACAGGGATGCTGGATCTGTCCTCCCAGCGCCTCACAGCGCAGGTCGATTTAAATACGAAATTGAGGAGAGGAAGGAGAGTGTTTATGTTGGGGCATGTGGCACTGAAAGAGATGTGTAAAGGTGTAAAAGGTAACTCACTGTGATAAGCCTCGCACAGACAATGGGGAGAGATCTCCAGCAGTGGACAGACAGGTTCCAGTATGTACAATCGAGGGAAATCCAGAACACAACAAACACTGCTTTCAATTTGAAATGTACAGTGTCCCACTGGTAACATCTGGA